AAGAATCTGACCGCAAGGCAGCGGGTAAAGCGAAGTAGAGACCCATTTACTTGGATCAATTACTCCTCTACCGTTTTATTGACTGAGATTCTAACTGGAGTCGGCCCCCCAATCTGGAGGACCAGGAGACTGAAATTCGTCTGACCTCTACCCTTCGACCTTCCAAGCATGATTTGCGGCTTGATAAAAGCCATCCTGTGAAATGTGACGCATCAACTAGAATACTTCGAATTTGGTTAGGAATAAAATTCAGAGAAGGTTAATTGAGCAGGCAGCAGTAGAAGTGGAGAAAATTTGGTGAAGGTAACTATCAGAAAATTATCATTGGAGTTTTGGGTCTTACCGCATCACGCTTCGGTTTCCGACGCTAAGCTCATAGTCATTCAGTGGATTCTTGAAATAATTGTCTCGAAAAGTGTTTTTGGAAGTTCCCACAAACACGGTTGTCCGGCGTGTATAATTCGTTGCCTCATTCTTATAAAATCCGTTGTACTCAAATAGTGAGCCGCGACTGAGTCCCTCTTGATTAGTCACATTGAGTAACACATCGGCTCTGTTATCGTGAACGAAATTGTGGGCAAATGGTTGCACCAGAACACCTACGAGACTGATCAAGTCCCGAGCACCACAGTTATTATGTGCTATGTAATTGCGCCGGATTTGAAGCTGATTGAAGTGGTTTCCTGAAAAATAATGAAAAAAACAGAGGTAAGCAAAGGGCTTTTCAGATAAACTAGCCTGTATGATCTCATCACATGGTGTGTTAAGCTGAAAAGCAAGGCTATTCAAGATGGACAACCAGAGCTCCTTAAAATAAAGGAATTTAAGAGAAAAATTCGATCTATTTCCTCTATTTAATGTCTTTGGGAATGCGAAGAAATTAAAATGCTACATTTCATGGAATCACACTAAAAAAAGGTGAGAAAAGCTAAGTATGGTCAAAAATATTGGATTTGTTTAAAATCACAATCTTAATTTTAATCAATGAAATAATACCTACCTGGTTAGGAGGTAGGATAACCATTTTGAGAGCTCTCTGCACGGGAGAGCAGCAAATCATACTGTTTTGAGCTATTGAATCACTTATCATTGCTTAATTTAATCGGTAAAGGTAACTGTCCGCTGTCTCATATTTGGTGATTCCAAGGCAGATATTTGGCTTCTTTTTGGAATCCATTGCAGCTCGAAATTCGGAGATTAAAGCTGAACCTACTATTTGCAAGTGAGTTTGATCTACTATTTACGCTAAACAACAAAGTGTCGCCTTGGAAAGCCTTGCCGGAGCTTGTCGATTTTCAGAGATACTAACTACTTATTGTTCTCAATTTTGAACTATAAATTGTCGTCTTAAACCATCTGACTATATTTCAACTGATGCTGAATGCAAAAAAGATGTTGCTTCTATAGAGCTAATCCTGTGATTCAGAGAAAAGATCAGCATGAATGTGAATAAGGGCGAGATAATGACAGCAAAATCGGAGTAAAAAAGCAAGCTTTATCTATCATGGTCGGAGTGCTATGAACCGTTTGGTAGGAATCGCTTTGACAGCCTTGAGGGTTCCATAGTCTTATCCATTCGAACTGTCTTCTCATTCTCTCTCTCTCATGCGATTTACGTTGAGTTGCGTCATCAACAAATAACGAGGAATCGCTGAGTTAGATACCTTGCCAACAACTGGTACTGTTGACTCAAACACAGCCACCTCGTGTTGAACCAAGCTGGTGTGTGAACATTGTCTACAATTTCTTAAATTATAGAATGAAGTTATCGCATAAATGAACCTTGCTTGAGCTGAAAAAAAACTAGGAAGACCTGGACGGTTGTTCCGACTGGTTGGGTCCCATTAACAGCGCACACTCATCGACCAGACTGGGGATCGAAACTTGCAAAACGCATGAATGCCATCCACTGGATCACCGGGGAGACAGTCAAAGCGTTTTTCATTTTGAATATGCACAGTTTAGAACAACCCATCTTTGAGATTCTAATGCGGGCATCGCCCCTAGCTCATCTCAGCACTAGCCTCCGGGGTTATGACTTCATGGGAAGCTTTCACAACCTGATTTTATGTTGTATGAAAGTAGTGGAAGATTTGCCTTGATTATATGATGGATCCACATTTGTAAAACGAATTCACCATATAATCAAATTTCAGACATTTTAAACAAGTTTATTGTTTCGGGCTTTATTATACGCATTATAGTGTTTAAAAACATTTTGTAACAGATATTTCTAGAGCATGGAGTTGAAGAAGAGTGAATATCAACGCACTTTCAAAAATGAACCCGTGGTTTGAATAAAAAAGCCAATAATGTTTTACTCAGGCTTTAGTAATCCCTCAGTGCATCTATCACCTAATGAATAAGGCTCTTTTTCCAGACCATATATATATATATATATCAAACATCAATTTTGACAGACCGCGCCAAAAATAACTATGGGTTAACGAAAAATATGAGTACGGAAGCGGGGAAAACACGCTGTTTTGACCAAATATCTACAAACGCTATGAGTAAAACTCACCTTCCACAGATAGGACGGACCCCTGATAGTTACGCAGAATCACGTTGTTGGTGATATTTCCCTGTGTGCCTCTGGTTAACTGTCCCGCATAAAGTGCAATGCGAATAGCGTCTCCCTTGTGATGTCCAATCAAGCAATTAGTCAGACTTAGTCTTGGAGTATTGCTCAGTCGCAAATCGATACCGACCGGTCCTGTTAAATTTAATACATCCAAACCGTTGCGTTCCAAACGGAGATGAGCCAATTTAACTCGGGGACCAGCTTCTCCCACAGTGAGTATTCGAACTGCCCCACCTTGGTTTTCCAAAAAGTCGCACGACTCAATTCGGTGATGATAAGGTTTCACTGTGCACAAAAAGTTAGAAAAAATAACATAAGGCGTAACAAATGATCTGAAATATAATATCTGAAGAAAAGCATGAGGCGAGCAAGACAAAATCCTACAATTGAACATACACACTTGATGAAATACTGATGAGAAAAACTCGTTCAAAGATCAAAATCCCCATTGAGAAGCAGAAAAACATTGTTTCCAGGACGTTACTGTAAACCTTAGCTGCTACTGGGTGACTTTTTAATCTTTCTTCACACTTGACCATTTCTTCCCCAATGGCTTGATTTGCTTCAGAGGAACATCTGCTGAGGACGGCAACTGAATAAAAAATTATCATTTACTAAAAGCTCATCATCTGAATTGTCCACTCTGACTGATATTTTTATTTGACCAATGAACCTCAAATAAGTGCTAAATAATTTCTCAGAATGTCCTGCAGACAATGGGACAGAATGAAGGCAAACATAAGATGTTTGATTAGGGGGAAAAGATTTTAAGATGCTTAAAACATAAATTTCAGTTTCTTCAGCTAACACACCGATTCTCAGACTTGCTGCGAAATCTGAAGGGGAATATTTTCCAACAGATGTAAGAGCATTCAAGCTTGTTGAAATTATACTCGTAGATAGTGGTAGATAGTGTTATCATAATATTTTCCTACCTCTGAAGCAGACTTTAGTGATCACACCCCGATGCGTCACTCAATTCCGATAAATCACTCAATCGTGGTAAATCACAAACCAGTGTGAGGATTGCCGAAGCCTAAAAGCCTCATCCAGCGTGTGTACGACCTGCAAAGACAACTACTTACATGGTTTGGTTTCGAAGTAAATCTGTTCATCTGACAGGGATGTATGGATGGATTCTTGGGTCACACCCTCACACGTCGAATGATAAAATCAGCTCCTATTGTTATAATTCCAGAAGACCGGTATTCGCTCCGGGAGAATTGTTTATTGCGAACTAGAGTTAAGGTATGGATAATTTGGCCTACATATAACAAGATATCTCATTTTCAACATGTCATCACAGTTCCAGGCAGCACACAGGGTATTGAATAGAATGGTCCGTAGTTATCATTTCGAACACAGCGATTCGCTCTAAGAGGTCTTGTTAATTTTTAACCGTTGAAAGAAACCGCCAACCACATTCTTTTGTGTACTACTAACAACCGTGAGCAAGACCTCAACACTATGACAACATTCAGAATAGCCTTGCTGCGATGACATTTGCATTTAGGTGTGCAATGGCTAGAGGCATGTATTCAAAACAAAACAAAACGTTACTTCTGATGATACTGCCAATGCCTCTCGTACTGAACACCTAAGACATTTCACGATCCAAAAAATGGACAGCTTATCCTCTACGCACAGTCAGTCGTAATAAAGTGTAGAAATGTTGGATGCATGACTGAAAAAGTAGATGAGCGTATTGACCAAACATTCTCACTCTTCGAAGGGATTAATTTTCATTATTTCTTTTAGATGCTAAATAGACTTGCCAAAAATATGTGTTGAAAAATGTCTTACAGACTTTTACTGATGTGTCACTTGGTTCGGCTTCTGCGTTTAACATTTCAATTGAAGTATATTCACCTCAATGAGTTCGGTCTTCAAACTTTATTCGTTCTGATCAGTTAAGGCGAAGCGCGAAAGACAAAATAGAAAGGCCTCAGTAAATAAGAAAACATTATTCTCGATTGGTGCAGAAAAGACTATTCGATTGCGAATAAACTATGAAACAAGGAAATATGAACCCGGATACTTCATTATCGGTCCAATGATCATGANATGAGGTAATAACGAAAAATCAATAGAGTAACATGCGACATACTAAATTCGGGGATGTGAACTACTCGCGGGCGTGATTCTAGACAGACGATTTGTGCAGGATCAACTCACAGAATGTTGGAGTGTTTAGAGACTGATCTATTTGGCTTTGTGCGTGTATATGATGGGGACTGGTAACATTTTGGCTCACCATCTGAAAAGTTTTATTCCAGACAATTCGCACCCGCAGCGATGGAATTGAATGAACGACCAATCGCTTCTGTCGAGCAAATTTAATCACGATATCAAGCTTCAAACCGGTTTATCATAAGTTCACACATGACTAAAACAGCTCCTTAGGACAAAATAAATAAACAGAGCTGAATGTTTACAAGGGTGAAAAGATAAAAGAGCCGTTCTTGAGAGTTCACTTCGACTGTGCACATTTGGAGTGCCATAATCACCCGGATGAACACCAGGTAACAAAAACGGTACCAGGGACGCTACAAACTGGTGAGCCCAGAGTCTCCTTTTTCAGTTTCTCAAATCGCGAAGAATGATCCAATCAAATAACAAAGAGGTTCAGAGGGGAATTTAGTTCTGTGAGGTGAAAGGATCATGACTACTTGAAACGATGATGCAGTTGCGCTGCACTTTATTTGTGTTTGCAAGCACCCGTTAACACCAAAACTCACGTAGATCCGGGTAAGCCCGACCGGGTGACAAGGGCAGTGTGATCACTTCGGCAATGAATCCAAACATGTGACTTGCCGGACTGGAATGCATACGCACCCCTAACAGGTCGTGAATCGGTGAAGTGATCACAGTGTACCGTTCATCGACCGAACGTGTCCGATTCGTCAACGAAGCCGCGTTGATGACAGCAATTCGATAGGTAGTGTTGAACTGAGCCCCATTATACAGTTCGATTCCATTCTACGATTAAAGGTTCAAAAATCGGAGAAAATGAATTAGAATGCAAGAACAAGGAAATCTTTGAACGTGTGTCGCTCAATCGACTGTACAAAACTTAAGGATGTGCATACGGCTGAAAATCTGTTGCGGGAAGCACAAACTGCTCAATGAAGGTCAAAGGGCATTCATAGAGGATACGGGGACAGTAAATTATTAGGGATATGGTGCATCAAAAGAAAATGAAACAGAATGATATTTTAAATGTGATTGCTACTATGCTCCTGTTTTTGTTTACTTCTGGCAGTTTTCAACTGTTTTGGACGATCAATATTCTTGGAAGCTTAGGTTGCGTACTTTTGGGGAGCTGGTAATTTGGACAAGTTTTGTTTTATTACACACCATAGTGTGATGAATAACAGACGGGGTAAACCCCATAGCCACTAGGGCCTGATTTTTGGCGATGGAAACCGGTAATCTTAGCTCCGGGACTTGAAGTGGCCAACCACATAGAGCTTCGCTAGGTTAGGCGTGACATTGAGCCGGGCGAAAGCAATGCTGCCTGCCAAAATGTTGGGTGACGGTACTGGGATTGGAATCTCGGACTATAGGGTCCAAAGCGGGCTGACTAAACACCTGTGCCACCACCATCCAAATAAACAACCCAGTGTTAATGATTGAACCCATTTCTCAAACTCTTCCTCTCAGACTATACAGTCTTAGTTTTATCGCTTCCAAACTATATACGAGAGTTCCATGTAGAGTGTGAGATAGAAATACCTCAATATCTGCTCCAGGAATTCGGTAATTAGAGTCAGGTATTGCGTATGGTAAAATTTTGTGTTGATCGAAAATTTTCTAGTTGGAAACCGGGAAATTCACCTCTGAGCCTTAGGACCCACTACTACCAGACTGCATGCGACACGTGGGAAACTGGTATCTGACTCACAGTTACCTGTGGCAAGGGCTATGAGATAGCAGATATTAATTGAACTATCCATCCTCCCGAACCCGACCTCATGCACTCGGTAAGTACTCAGCTCGAGTTCGTCAGCGGTGCACTTTCACCGGATGTCTGAGGGTCAAACTCCGAACTCATCACAAGGAAGACCTATGTGTCAATACCATTAACAACCCCTCCCGGGGGGGGGGGGGGGCTGATCAGAATAATTAAAAAGCTTTTGTTTCATATCATCTTCACAGATGACCGGTAGGTTTTTGATCCGAAAAAAAGAAGGGAGACACGTTATACCACGCAATACTGTCAGTTTAATCTAAAAGAGAGCTCCCTACCAAATGAGATTTTCCTTTCTGTTTGGGGTATGGTCTCCCAGTTGAACCCATCAAGCTAGTCTTCGATTTCCATTTAACTAACGGTTAATTGTAAGTTTGCGGTTTGAGATAAATTCTACTTATTTACATTGACCCTCGTTCAGATCTGTATTTTACGCACAATCCCCAGTTTGTCCAATCATCGTTGCACTTTAGAAGCACAATGGCAACGCACACACACACGCCTTCCGTGCAATAGGTCAAAAGTTAAAATCCTGCAGGGCCTGTGGATGCACAACAGTACAAGCGGAACTTTAGTCTAGTGATTTCTTTTGAGTGTATCGTTGACCGGATGAACTAAGAGTTGTGCGTGGGGATGAAGTTCGAAGGTGGCTCAATCAAAATCAATGATACAACTCGCGAGGAGCAGAATCTGCACAAGGAAAATAATACGTAGGCATTGGTCTCCGTTCTTTAGGCTTCATCATCACCACTATTTGTTGCTTGTATACCTCATTCTGTTCCATCTTCCACTTCAGTTGAACTCGTATCTTTATTCATCGTTATTCGAATCCTCCCGTGGACAGGCCTAAAGTGCATCTTTTCATATGCAAGTTTTGACCCTTAAAAGTATGCCATTCTTAACCCAAGCACCAATGAAATAAAGAGGTAAGTCTTAAACTGGTTCCTTAGTTGGACCTTTCTTTATGGATTCTACCTGAGGTATTCACTCTCTGCCACTGCCATGTAATTCCCTCTCTGTCCTTGAATCTACGACCATAAAAGTTTTTGCTCTCCATGAATTTTCGCCAGGAGTATTTGTTTCCCTTGCATATGCTTCTGAGTTACCCGCAGCGGGTGTTGGTCGAACGAGAGAATGCAGTGTTTTTTTCAGGGGGTTATTTAAAATTTGATAGATCTTTCATGCCGATTTTATTTGAATCTCCATCTAAGCGAATATAGTCTCCTTCGAATGGCAGTGACAAATGGACCCTGTATTGTAGTGTTTCTCACTAGAAACCAATCTCTGAAACCGTCCCGGAGGTTGGTGATAACACACGGGACAGAACACCCTGCACGTTTGAGTGTGAACCGTTAAAGTAACAGCGGATAAACACTATGCACTCACTATTCCCAACAGGAGTGGAATGCCTGTTTTGCCGTGCTTCCCAAGTGCTTCAGTGACATGTGTGTTGTGACGCTGCATAGTTGATCACTTTCTAGGTTTAGGAAAAAAACAGTGATTAGGTCTAGACAACATGCTCACAACCTTAGTAAACGTAAAACAGTACGTTAGATAATAATGGGTGAAGTACAGTCATCTGTGTTGCTGGATTCAAAATGAGATCATAGGGCCTCGCCCATGAAATTGCCTGTTGGAAAAAATTTAAATGCTTTAATGCCATTCTTTTCTGAAATGAGAATTTCATATATCAAATAGACGGATTTGTCTTTTGCGTGATAGTCTCAGTGCACAACAGAATGAAAGACTTTAGTGAACATAGGATCAACTAAGCATAAGCGTAACTATGTAATAAAATGAGCAAATACATAATATACGATCTAAAAGATATATGCTTATCTACACACCGGGAATATAGGATCCTCGTATAGATTGACCGCCAAAAATCGCCATGCCAAACGGCGTCCGGGGACAACTGAGCGAAATAGTTTTGTGCACGAGTGCGCCTGATACCAGCTGTACCGATAAATGATCAGCACTCGGTCGATCACGGGGATCCACTTCTCACCGGCACACATTGACACAAAACCGGGTGTGTGTTGCTCATCTGCTTCCATAGGATAGAAAGGTAACGGTAAACGAGCATTTTCGGCCGATGGACCGTTTGCATTACCAGTCTGTTCCGGAGTTGGTCTTGGTTCCGGAAGCAGGGACCCCTGCCTCGGTGGTAACCGTGGGATGTGGGAGTCAAAATTCTGGACAACAGGAACAGATCAACAAATTTACTGAAAATGATTCCTCTTAAAAGGTAGTGCACGAAAAGCAAATTCAGACAAAAAACACCTCTCAAAAAGAAGCCTAATTTTCTGGGAACTCGTTTTCCAATGCTGCCTTAAGAAAAGTGATTTGAATACATTGGAAAAGGTCAGTAGTATTAATGTGTATGAATGCGGCGCTGGAAAAGAAAAGCCTTTCAGAAAAATTTATCATATTGTAGAGTATACCAACAAATTTCTCAGCAGTTATATGTTAAAATTCAACCAGTACCGCATAACTATCCCATACATATGTGTTAACTGATGGTCTTTTGATTAACTGTTTGAAACAATTGTAAAATCGATTATTTAATTATTTATTTGAACTTTCAATATTTTGGAATTCATCTTCGCACGGAAGCTCAGTTCTCCCCGTAAACCACTTACACAGGAAGCACCTAACTCGAAATTATCAGTAGTGGATACCTCCAGTTTTTCTGGATTCGATATCCAAACCCATTGCGTTTACGCTACCTCATTGCGTGTATGTGTGTGTGTGTGGGTTCATCCCTATTTTGCTGTGGAACTAGACACATTTATCAGGTGGTTGTCTGAATGCGTTTGTGTTCACCAGTCCGTTTAATTGGATATGTGAGTCATTCGGATAATTGTGAGTGCGTTGTGTTTGCAACCCGATGAGTTTAGCTACTGGTTTCAGTAATGCGAGCAGGCGAATGTCGTGTTTCAGTCAAGCCCGAGGTCGTAATCATTCGCAACCACAATTCACGCAAGCATTCAAGCTCCACTGACCCACTTCATCTTATCCAACACCCATCACAATAAGTTCATCGTAGTCAAAACACTCTCATGTTGCACGTTTCAAATAAAACAGCAGTGTGAAGAACAAGCTCATTTTCAGTTATTCACATCCATGCCAAAACATCACAATACACATGACTACTTGATGATAAAGTTGCATTGAGAAAATAAAGTAAACGCACGTCACATCACATCACTGATTAATAGAAACGATTTCATCCTGAGACCGGAAGTCCGATTCATCACGATCATATAGTTGTTCGTTTACTTATCAGTCCATCGGGATTACTCGTAACCCAGTCTGTTTGCTACTGAAGGACGAAGTTCCGGACTGTGTGGTCTCACTCTATGTATACTTACTGGCTTGTTCCTGTAGAACAACATATGTAGGTCGCACAGTCAGACCAGTGTCCGAACGGATTCGTGAACATCCCCACGCGTGGCTGCACACCAGAACGATTAAGTCACTTACCAGTGCAGTGGTTTCAAACCTAGCTGAAACAAATCACACTGTGGACGTGGTCGAGGATTTCCACCTTCTGTATAAAAATTGTGGGTGATTGTCGGGGCAGGTTCACTGTCGGATGTCAACAACAAGAGAAGGAGTGGGCATTCGTCTGCATAAACCCCCTCTGTTTGCTCAAAAACAACTTGTGCAGGCGCTAAAGTTCATCGTTATGGCTACGGACAGTTGATGTAGCGTTTTGACTGTTATCAATGTTCCGTTAAAGTAATTAAGATGGTGGTGATTTTCGGTTTTTAACTTTACCCGTAGATCACTGGATGATGCATCACTCCAGTTATTTAGTGACACAACTGGGCGGTCACAAAGCACGACGCCAGTTGATTCGTTCATCATCACCATGAGATCAAACAAGTCAAATAGTGCACATTTAACTCAGTTACTTTTTAGTAGTACTCACAAGTAATCGTGAGTTGAATATGAATGAGTAACCCAGCCGAGCAGGTGTGTGACAAGACAGCCCGTAACCTTTATGGAATACCTGATTTGGTGATAGACTTTCGATTGTAGTTAACAGATAATCATTTATGTCTCCCTTCGCAGCTCTCGGGCCAAAATGAACTGGCTGAGTATCACTGAAGACGACATCTGAACAACCATGAATTGGCAATTCGGTTCAGCTCTGGCATGAATTGGTTTGCACAGTGGTAGCACATGCCTTCCATACGATGGATCCGGAGTTCAAGCCCCGGACAGGACGGTGAATATGCGCTACTGATGAGCTCTAATAAGAGTGATACTCGAGTCTAGTGCTTCCGAGTGTATGATTGGCTGGAAGAGCTGAGGATTAGGTGTGAAGGTGAAGTTGGAAGGATGGTCAGTTCCAATCAATCAATAAGTTAAATAGATTGCTCATGCAGATAAATAGATACCAATTTTTAACTTGAACCCATACCGAACATGGCATTCTTTTATTTGTAGAAGATTGTTCTTTGACAAGTGAGTCACGGGTAAAGGTAACAGTTATAGTCGTCGTTCCATCAGGATCCTGTAAAGCGAGCACTGAATGTGGTAACATGACCGGATCAATTATTTTGTCGTCACGTGTAAGCCACTAGGCATCGGAACGTTTGTCACTTGCCTTGTATTCATAATTGGGTAGTTAGTTAATCCGTTACGAAAGAAAATCTGATCAGTCAACTACTGAATGGCCTGAAAACTTTCCACTTCTTTCTTTCTATCCAAGTGTCTCTGTCCGACTTTAGTGCAATGTTTTTATACGTAAATAAATAAATATGCTCTTTAAAGGGATTTCGTTGTGTACCGAGAGAAAATGAAGCGTGAACGAAAAAGCCAAAACGCACTCTGTACAGCTGTTTCGATCTAAGTGGGTCTCGTAAGCAGTGCGAAATTCACCGTATAGTTGAATCAAATCCTCCCGCACTCTCATGTAACGAGCAATTGGGTTGGAATGTTCCCAGCCCAGTTATAACCCCAAATGTTAGTGTTGACACGAGCGACGTGCGATCTGCACATCACGCTCGTGAAGATGGGTTGTGTGCTGTTTCGTGTTAAGGCATAGGTAACTAAGCCAAAGAGATTCACACATAAAGGTATATTTTGGAGGTTTCAGAAGAAGTGTAAAAGAGAAAAAATAACCCTACAGGAATAGGGTTCGATTCATCGTCCTCTACAAAACGCGTTGTGATATGTAAAACGTGGGAAGTATTTGATAATGTTTATCGAAATCATCCTAGCTTATGAACCGGTCTTTATGTAGGTTACCCACGGTACCCGAAACGTTGACTGATCTCCAACAATTCCGCTAATATCGTGTCATCTAATAAAAAAGGTTATTTGAACACAAAGCAAAACCAAAGTAGATTAGAAATTGTCAAATATTACATTCCTTAACCTAACATCGCATAAAGATAATTGGTTTGGTTTATGAACAATTCTGGATTTGTTGTTCACGATGCCTTTCATTCTTTTATTCACCAATATAATAGTTTAAAATTTGGCAAATAGGCTCACAAATCGTTTATGTACTGATTCGCATGACCTAGTACAACTTGCTTCGTAGGATATTACCCTTTCCTACGCACGTGGTATGCATATCACACGTGCATGATAATGCAACAGTACGTACGCTTTCAGATAACGTTTTGATACAACTGGTGCGAGAACTCGGGTGGGATTCGATAAAAGTATAACATCTCGGGACGACTTTGAAAACATTCGTGCATGACACACATTGTGTTTATCAAGTTGAAAAGCGAAGACTTGGATGGTCGAAACAATTCCCCGATGACGGGCGGCAGGTAATTCGAATCCGGCTTGCACATGCAACCTTCTGGATTGAGATTTATTCACTGTCAGCACTCGAAAGCTTATATTTTGTATTTTTATTAAAAGATGCACACTAAACTTTCAGCAAGTCAGACTGATGTAGCACTAATCCTATGAATTCTGTTTTGGTTTTCCTTTAATAATAATGCATCATTCGTTTACTTTCTTTTTATTTGTAGCACGTAAGGACAGGAAAATTTAGGGATCCACATGGTCGATCACGCCGGAGCAGTTACAAGCAATTCTCAAACAGCAACAGTCACAATTCGAGGCCGCACACCTAAAGATAATGGAAACCATGGTACAGTGTCTCAGCACAAATCCCCTCTCCGCCGCCAGTTGTTGTATTCGGTTTAGACTTGGAGGAGTGCGCAATCGGACGGGTTGCTTAAGCTCCGTCCTAACACAAGCAACATTTAGAAATGAGATTTTAGGTAATTAACTGCTATTTATGGTTATAAAGGAGCGGGTAAGTTGGTCATTGGTGATGTGCCCCATGTAGACACACCGGACGAGATGATAGCATTCTATACCGTTTCACCATCGACATCCAGTCGATTAGATATTACAAATCTATAACGAGTAATATATATGAATAACTGGACAATGACAACAACTGAGCTTACAAATTTGCCCACAATAGTGACTAGCGTTGTGAAACAAAAACCCTCATACAACAGTACCTTTGTTTTTTCAAGTCCCACTGTGGTCGGATCGGTGGAATCTCCGTTCAGCTGGACGACTTCGATTGCCCGACCTAAACAGCCACGAATGGTGGAGTTTGTCACGTCCACGAATCCACTGGCATCGATTAAACTGATGCCCGAACCCAGACAGTCATCAATCCGGATGTAGGACAGCCTGAAACGGGGCGAGCGCGAGATTATTTCGGGAATGTAGCAACATTAGAATTTTAAATGTTTACATTTGTGCACACTTCAATCAACCAAAGAGATGAAACCAACGCCTTGCAGAAAGATGATAGTCACTGCAATGGCTAACTGTTGGTTAGGGGATGGAAGCTTTACTCCACCGGGAGAAAACGACGCATAAATCTATCTAATCCTCCAGAGCCGTATTCAAAATAGCATCATTCAAACAAACTCTATCTAGATATTCAATTTGCATATGGTCAAAAAAGTTTTGAAAAAATTTATTGGCATGTAATGCAGAAAACAACGTTTATTTGCAATGACAGCTCCCAGCCAGTGTGACATACTGTTGACACGGCTAGATATGTAACCACAATAAATTTATTATCAACGGGTCGTAGGCGAACATATGTTTCCGGTGAGCTCCTTATCAAGCTAGCACAATCACATTTACGTGAGAAAATAACGGGGTGTTGTGTTAGGATCAAACAGTCGAGGTCAAATAATTATAGCAAAGAGGTGATGTAGGAACACATTGTCAGCTTGTGTAATTGAACATCCTGGGATATTTAGTACCGTCGAGAAAAATAATGTTTCTTCTCTATTCTTTCAGAGGCTTCAGTTATTCATACAACACCTTCAGGTTATTCGAATCAGCCCAGGTTCGATCAATAGAAGCCAGCAATGCATACTTCTCATTAGGTCAAATAGAACTCGATGCTGTCATGGGATCTTCGTCACATTGCACTAATAGTGCACTCAATCTGTTTGACCACCTTTGTCTCACCGATTTGCAGGTTGACCTTGTTCAACCTATCTATTCTATCCGAAGCCCAAATTTCTCGGTCCAAACGACGCTATCTTATTGTGTACCACACCGATGCACCGATGCACTTGAGATGCGACATTTGATGGTGTTCGATCAACAAGGGAATCCATAGTGGATGCTGTGTATGCATATCAGAGTCGCATAAGTGTAAGTTCAAAAGCGGGAGCTGTATGTTCTCGCCTTTGGGATGATAAGGTTGCAGAGACATTTATCCGCAAACATCACGAAATCCTTTGTTTCAGTCTTCCGCTTGTCCCAGAAGGCCAATCACTACCGGGGAGGAGGGGACAGGCACCGGTTTCTTTGTATAGGTTTATCATCTGACTTTGGTTTGTCTAACACTTTCGATATACAAAAGGTGGAATTTCAGGTTTTCCACATAACGAGTCTGAAAAATAATTCGGTGCCCTTTCATGTTCATTTTCAAGCAACATGGTGGGAGCAGAGAATACTCGCCGCCTCCTACATGTGAATGTAAGTCGATTGACATGCGTGAATATAGTTCACAATCTTGTTTCAAGATCAACCGGGTACCGTCTGTTTGCATCCAATTGTTTTTTGGGGCGTGTAAGCACAGTTCAAGGCGGTCAGACAGCTTTGTATGTAAACTGTTCTGATGGATTGAGGTTTGCATGTTTTAGGAATTACTGGTTAATCTCTGTGTGAACTGCTTGGTACAACTGTGAAAAACACGTGTTCTATGCAAGAGGTCCGCGAGTAACACTCATAAGGAAATATAAGAAAAGCAGTACACAGTTTCGTGTATGAAAAATACCACAATTTTGATATTTTATGCTCTTTTATAAATGCTGAAATGTTAGATGTGCAAACGATTCATCAACTATTTGTCTGAAAAGAAAATCAATTCTGGGAGCACGTGGCAGAGAACTCAGAGTAGGGCAAACGAATGATGCCGACATTTCGATCGGTATTTGAAGCATTAACCTAAATAAAAATGAAGTCCAAACGTTATTCATTAGCTGAAGATAAGGGTTAACAGATACTATGTAAAACGGTTTTAGTGTCAACTACTGAATACAATTTTGTTAGGAACAGGAAAATATTTGACTCCTAGTGTTCTTTCATTGGGATCTTGAAGGTTTTCACAGTAATTTATGGCACAGATTTGTATAATTAGGATTAGCAGTGTCTATGGGGTATTATAATTTTGAACTGTAAGTAGTACATCTAATACAAGACAATTAACTTATTTCCTTCGTTCACTCTTGTCAAACGTAATGTCCCTGTGGTACCAACAGTCAGATCTTTCCTCACACACCGAAACCTCCATTCCTTTAAAGCTCAACTCATTGAAGAATTTTTTGTCATAAAGTGATCAGTTCGTTCCGGATGGACGAGCGTTGCGATTGCTTCTGATCTAATACATATATAGCATACGACCAATCATATCTCAAGTTATGCATCAGAAAATTTGAAGTCGCATCAGTGAAACGCTTTATCTTCATCCATTTCCTCATTAAACTATCCTCAACTGTTCAACCCCCTCCTCCAGAGCCCCCCAAACGTAACAGTTCAATAAAACCAAACCCAGCCGTACTTTTACGTGATACGATCCACTGTTGCATCAGAGGGAACAATGACATTTACAATGACCGTTAGAGACGTGTGTAAGTTGTGGTTCCGCAACACACGCATTTATCTGTTCGTCTAAGTGAACGTGTTACTCCAAAAAAGTGAAGTTGGGTTGCTGTGCAATCGATATTTGAGAATCAGGGTGGTCACGTCACTACTAGGGTTGACAGTGTCCTGTGTTCTATGTAGTTCAAGTGTGATATCTGATTAGGAACCCTTTGTGATTTGTGAATATATGTAGTCCCAAGGAGATATGAAACTGTGTCCAGTGTTGAAATTATGATTTGATTACCAATCTGTGTGCATAATCTCGGTGTGAAACTTGTGTTGTACGCGAAGAGCCACGAAGCAGACGAGAAAGCAGGCTGGGATTCTCTGTTTGACTAGGAGAGGTATACTGTCAATACTGGCTACCATTGTTGAAATAAGTTAGTCAGTGCTTTCGGTGCTTCAATTTATCAATCACAATGTTCAGCGCAAAAAGGATTCAAGCCGTCAAATCTTCATATCAACATCTTTCATCATAAACTTACTTGGGGTTGGTTCGTATGCTCATTAAGGCCGGCACACGTTGTCCATGCAAAAGACCCGCACGTTCGAAATGCACATGTTCTAGCACAGATTGGTTCTGCTCATCCGATTCGCCCAGGTCCGAATCCAGCCGGATGATACGCAAATTGCCCCACGTGTCCGACCATAACATGCGATCGATAGACTCGTTCTTGTTGTTGCCGTTTAGCAGAGGCCACAGAGCACATCGGAGAAATACATACTCGCGGACTTGGCTACATCTGATGGGGGATTGGATCCGCGGACCGAGAGAAATGAACCAATATTGCAATTGTGACGGTTAAAACAATTCTCATTATTCATTTCGTAGACGGACGTTAAACAATAACTTTATTTTATTACAAATATTTATGCGATGAACACTAAATTCAGTACTTACCCATCGTTGTGTGGTGCTCATTGTAGGGAGGAAGACATCCAATATGGATGCTTCATTTACACTTCTTGGAGCTATAAACAGTGACTAGCGGTTTACCATCAAACACCAGGGGATGCTGTATGTTTTATTGCATTGGGTTGGTGTAAGATGTACCTAACGGGATGAGGATGATTAGGATCGTGAAACGAAATAAACGACTTCCATATTTGATTTTAAGTAATATCAAGCGATAGTTGAATACAATTTCCGATTAAGTCGTAGAACTCAGGCACTTAGATGTACAGCTCCAGAAAAAGTGAAACTCGGGTATTGTTCTTCGTGATTCACGGGGCGAATTGCGGAGTTCGAGTTGGGATGGAGTCTGATGGATAGTTATTCAATCATATGATATCACATACTGACAAAATAAACTGTATTTAAGTTCAGAATAATAATGTTTACATAATCCTTCAAAACAATTGGACGTAATTTTCAAATCATTCAGTTAAATGGTTTGCGTCTCAGTCGCCGACGTGCTCCAAGTCCCGAAGTCCGAGGTTCATACTCTAATACCCCTGGTTCACTTCCTTTCTGTTTGAATCATTGCCACACCCACCCAGTTGTAATTTCATGCATTTCTTTACTCCAAGCCCCAGGGTTAAGGGAACCGGTTACTGTAGACTTGTGACTATGGGCGTTAACCCTTCTATTGTGTTACCATACAAAAGTGTTTCATAACAATGTAAAAATTATTATTCAATCACTTTTTCAGAGGGAAAAGGGTACAAATGCGAGATGACAGTGGGGTTTGTAAAGCCGACTTGCAATGGGTCATAAACCGTATATGTTCTCATATCTCCCTTCCTAAAATTCGAATTATAATTTTGTTTCCTGTGAGAAAACGAAGAATTAATGCTATGTACGACAGTGACTGTTACAGTCGGTGGAAGCATTTTTTCGGCTCATCGATATAGATTGCTTAAATCATTTGTCACTCATTTTCATCCTTAGTCTGTCAATGCTTTTAAAAGAGGAACTGAAATTTCACAATGATTGAGGGGAAATAATCGGTTCCGAAAACCTAAGTGCTACCAGTGGGTGGAGGAGGAGGAGAAGGGCGGACTAGGAGGGGGGGGGATAAAATTGCCATATCCTACCTGGAAAAATCATAGTTCCAGCGTCGCACACAATCCGAACGACTGGTTTCTAACCCTTGACACACGTAGCTCTCCATCCAGATATGTTTGGTGACTAGCGGATTTTCAAATCCGTACAATTGATAGTCCAATAAATGAGAGCTCCTCACGATCGCGTTCATAGTTGGGGCACCAAGTTCCTGACAAATAACCTAAACAGAGAAAGACAATAATAGACCGGTGACAGTTGTGGGTCCAAAACAAAAAGAAGAAATTATGAATAATGAAGCTCACTTGTCCGACTTCGACAGAAAACTGTTGATCACATGCCAAGTCCCAGCGCATTGCAGTTTGGTTGTAGAATTGTACAAAACCCTCGTCGGGCTGATAAGGAAAAAAAGTGGAAAATGGAATTTCCAAGACATCAAGACAGACATTGTTGTAAGATGAATTTACCCTCATTGTCATTTTCCTGCTGGCTTTATTTTTTTCAGAAAGAAACAATTATGAAACTCTGTTCTTATGTCATATGTGTGTGCCCAAGGAGACCAGGGTCTGTGTGTAGGAGGACCTTTGTTTGAGTCTATGCATTGCTTTTAGACCTCAACAGGTACCGAACAGCTGTCTCTCTTCCTGCTAGTAATCTCAAATTGCATTATGCAACATAACAGGCCCATATTGGGCAAGAATGAACTCAAGGGAAGCGAGCAATTCGCGGACCTTGCTTTGAGGAAATCAGCGTGTATATAACAAGGCAAATATCTCATTCATGTTGTCATTCACTCTACGTGACCGTAATCACTTGTAGGGGCTCGTGGGTTGGGATTTCAGTTCTCGGTCGAAGGTTCACGGATAGAACTATGACACAAAATAGCACACATTAACGACGAATCAGCTTTCCAGTGGACTCTGTTTGATCATCACATGAAATCGCATTTCAAAAAGAAATCATTCATTATTTCATAGGAATACCCTCAAAAGAACAGGTACTGGGCGTTTTTAACGGATAACAGCCGAATTTGTTAAACAAATATTTGGACTGTATTAGCCCATGCGAATGGAGTTGGAGATTTTATATGAACAGAACCAGTATCCGAAGTCCTATTGGAAACTGCCCCGACGTGCTCGAAACAGACCAGATGCGGTTTCCCTGAAACGCCATGTCCGAAGTGAGATTGATACAATCAGATCATGTATCGTGTCATTAAAAGAAAACGTAGAAAAACACGAGTCCGTATGTGAATTAGTAAACATTGAAGAACACGAACGATTCGAGCAATTTTCTTTAGATATTATCAGGAAAAGGGTCGAAAAGAAACTTTGTAGATTGAATAATACAAAAAATGATCAGGAAGCGAGATCAAAGTTCTTCCAGAATCCGGAGTGATACGTTCGCAACCTATCGAGTCTACCCATAGATAATACGCTACTGGAGGGTCTATCGCTCGGTACGAAAGTCTGATACCCAAAATTCAGAGATAATCAGCTCTCAACAGAAGTTCAATTTGAGAACCTATACTCACAGATAGGAGGCTTAAATGCTACAACACAGGAAGCAGTCGATGATTTCAAATCCTTGTTGATGCTTGTTTCCAATATCGTCGCAAGAAAGTACCACGTGAATATTTACTCAGTCAAAAACATGTCAAAGCACTTCGTGAGATGAAACTAAATACAGAAGTCATAATATCGAAACCCGACAAAGGTGGGGAATGGTACTATTGGATCGTAAAAATTACATAGACAAAATGACGAGAATTCTGAACGACAGTACCAAGTTCACGAAGGACGAAAAAGGGAAAGATATGTCAATGGCAGGGGAAGGACAACTGATCAATTACCTCAAAAAGCTGAAAGATCAAAATTACATATCGAGATCTAATTACGAAGAAATAAAACCAATTGGGACTCATTTCCCCTGACTATATGGCCTACCGAAAGTTCAAAAAGCTGAAACGCCACTAAGACCAGTTTTCGATATGCGTAATTCACCTTTTCATTCAATTGCTCGATGGCTAGTAAAAATCCTGGATCCGGTCAGGAAGAAAATCTGCAAGCATAGCCTGAAAGATACTTTCGAATTTGTCAACCGAATTCGGGACGTTTTACAAATGTGCCACTATTCGAGACGGTGTCTTACCTTTGCCAGGACATTGATGGGGAAAACATACAAATTGGAATCCGAACTACAAATTTGAAGGAAATATTATTACGATGTACATATAATATCCAATTTTCTTTTAATGGTACAATCTACAGACAGATGAAAGGTGTAGCCATGGGTTCCCCACTTGGCCCACCCCTTGCAGATGTTTTCATAGCCAAACTGGAAAACAAAGAACTACGAGGTATCATGCATTAACTCCCGCCATACTGCCGTTATGTCAACGATATTTTTATCCCTTACGACAAAAGAACTTTCTGAACATAATATTGGATCGTTTAAACCGAGATTATCCGTCAATCGACTTTACGATGGAAACAGATAACGAGGATAGGTTCCACTTCCTCGACGTCAACCTGAAGACGGGGTCCGGTGAAAAGTTATTCCGTTCTATTTTTCGTAAGCCAACATGGAACGGCCAATACACCCATCAAATTTGAACGAAACTTAGTCCAATGTCTAGCTTTCAGAACTCGAATGATCTGCTCCAAGGATCTATTGAAGGATGAACTCAGACTCATCAAATCCACACTCCTTAATAACGGATACCCGGAGCGGTTCATCGAGGAGAACCTCATAGAAAAGTCCACCTTGCCTAAACCAATTGCGGATAACAAGAAAGAAATATTCTTGCAGCTCCCGTTCAAAGGAGTTTCAAGTGGTGATATACTAAGAAGACGTCTGGAGAAAGCTATTACACGAAGAGTTCCAGCCGCCACTCTACGTTTGATGTTCACAAGCAGGCCTCAGCTCTGCACAAAACTCATGGATAAGCTGTCCATCCTCTCCTCAAATACGATTCCTTTTTTTCACTTGTACATGTTCGGCAAGTTATGTAGGATGAACGATGAGGCAGCTCTCCCAAAGGATCAGAGTACATAAACCGGCTTGGCTGAGAACGATTTGCAAGAAAACAATAACCAGTGCGATTATGGGTCACCTCGCTGATACCGGGCATCAGACAGACGACGATGCTTCAAAGTCGTCTATAAAGTACCCCAAAATAAACTGAAGCAGGTTTGGAAACGTCACTTGGCAACAGCAGAAGCTGTGGCAATCAAAATCATGAACCCACCACTGTGCAAACAGAAGAAGATGGTTGCCGCACTTCAG